GCAGAGCGGCTGGTAGTTTTGAACCGCTGACCTTAAGGTTCACAGCCCGATTCGTAACCACTACGCTACCAGAGCTCCTTTAGTTTAGCTAAAAAGGTGGGTTCAGAAAGGTAAGGCCATTTAATCTTGACTCATTCTTCATGTTACACTTCCTGAGGGAATCTCCTCTTACCCCCCATATTAGATACACAGTCTTATTAAGCACGTATTGGCTTAATGTAAATTATTAATTACCATATTATTAATTGAATTGCTGATGTGGTGCTATAGGATCAGCACTGGACTGTGTACCACAAGGTCGGCAGTTCAAACCCACCAGCTGCTCCTTGGAAACCCTATATACAGTCACTAAGAATCAGAACCGACTTGATGACAACAGCAACAATGATTCCTAATTAGTTTGTTAACTATTTAATATCTGTCTTCCCCAATAGCTTATACACCCATATCAAGGGCAAGACTGTTATCATAGCTGTCTTCAGTTGCTTAGCAAAGTGCTTGGTATGCAGGAGACACCTCTTAAGATGACTTGAGTGAGCTGAGTTGAAGCTACACCAAAATGGGGTCTTATACATAAACCACATTTTACAAACTTAAAATTAACCTTGTATTTCTTCTTTCTTGTCAAGTGCCATAGAGTTGGTTCGACTCATTAGTGACCCTGTTGAGGGTTTTCCAAAGAGTAGCTAGAGGGTTTGAACCACTGATCTTATGGATAGAAGTCCAGTGCTTCTCCTACAGCACCACACCAGGATTCCTCTCACTCATAAGCCTCCGATTATAATTTCTTTCTTTCTGCCTTTAACTGGTATTGACTTGCATTTAGCTCCTTTATGGCTGACCACATTATCACCTTGTGTGTGTGCTCACACTTTCATTTATTCATACTACTCCCCCATTCCCAAATGAGACAATCTCAACATCAGGTTTTTCAATTATAGTGAATCATTTTTACTATGTTTAATTTTAAAAGATCTAAGTAGTTTAATAGATCCAGGAGTTTAAAAGAAAGATTGTGATCTGGAAAATATCCATGCAAACAACAGGATAGAAAAAGAATGAGGAGCGAGCATTTTGAAGTAGGTTCTTCTTGGCGTCTTGCATCCTGGACTAGTACAGATGTTCCAGGATGTAGTTGGCAACATGCTTGATAGCCAACATCGTCTCCTCACAGGTTGCCCGGATTTGGGACTCTGGGAGGGCAAAGCCATATCTGCCTTTATCCCGGAGTTCAAAGGTGAAGGCATATTTGATTCCTTGGTCATAAGCCCAGTCATCAGAGCCTCCAGCAGCAGGGTCTGAAATGTGGAAAAAAGCAGAAAAGAAGAAAAGTATGCAACTAGAAGGAGAATATAACTGCTAAGATTTCAATCTGCAAAATGATATGGGTAGTAGGCCAGTTTTCTAGTTAACAAGATCATAAAGGATATGGGGCAGTCTTAAAAAAGGAAGCTTACCTCCAAGCCTATTTTGTGGGAAAGATGTGTTGAATATCTCAGAATGTAATTTGTAGCATAATATAAAATTCTCAGTATGTGTGTATGTGCTATGTTGTTGTCAAGTGCCATTGAGTTAGTTCCTATTCATAGCAACTCTGTATAGGGTTTCCTAGGAGCAGGTGGTGGGTTTGAACCACTGACCTTGCAGTTAGCAGTCTAGTGCGTATCCTACAGTGCACAGTAAACTACTATATAGTGTATAATTTATATATAAAATTTAATTTTTGGAACAGTATCTACTAGGATACTAGTCTGAACATGATATCCAGAAATTTTTTAATATATAAGTAGGTATGTGATTTCTGCTAGAATGCCTTTTAGAAGACATCCCAGCCCTTCTGACTCAGAGCAGTTTTGAAAACTGACAAAAATATAGAAAACTTAAGCTTAAAAATATAAATCTTCAAGATTGGAGCCTCTCTAAGTGCCCTGGAGGGTCTGTGATGATAGCATTGAGATTTTTTTCCTGTACATTCAGGCAGTCTGGGAATTATGAAGAGTTCTGCTCCTAAATCTGTCTGTAAATTGAAATCATAGGTAAATTGGGGCAGTTAGATATAGTTTGCATCTAGCCTCAGTTAGTGAAATGTTTGTAGTCTGCAGGCAGTCCCCCTCGGTTATGAATGCGTCAGATCCCGTGTCACACTAAAACACTGGGGAGGAGGAGGCAGCTGAGCCTGAATTATTTCAGGCAGCACCAACAGCTCCGGATTCTCCCTATGTGTGACAGGTCCCTTAACAGGTACCTGTGCTAGCTGCATTCCAGGATCTTCCTGGTCACAATCGAGAAAGTAACAATAACCCTTACTTGCAGGATCCCACTTTTCATTCTTAGGAGGCAAGACTGGGATTGAACTTTGTCAGAGGTCTCAAACCTGCCTGGCAAAAATCACTTGGTGCAGGGATATTTAAAAATACAAGGTTTCTGAGTTCTGTTACAGCCTTTCCTTGTAAAGAAGCCATTCCAGGAAGAGAACCCTGGGAATCTCTGGTTTTGACAGACAGACCTCCTAATTCTCTTTCTGTCACACACATACCTAATTCTTCCCAGGTAAGTTTGACAATCCCTAGGCTAAGTCAGGAGTCCTGGTGTTTGCACTGTAGGAAAAGCACTGGGCTGCTATCCAAAAGGTCGGCAGGTCAAACCTATCAGATTCTCCTTAGGAACCCTATACAGGGTCACTATGAGTCAGAACTGACTGGCCAACAACAGGCTAAGTTGTTGTTGTTGTTACGGTCTGTGGAGTCAGTTCCGACTCATAGCAACCCTGTACAGGGTTTCCGAGGCTGTAAATCGTTATGGGAGCAGAAAGCCTCATCTTTCTCCCATGGAACAGCTGGTAGTTTCAAACTACTGTCCCTGAGGTTCATAGCCTGATTCGTAACCACTATGTCACCAGAGCTAAGCAACCCTTAACTCTGCAGTTCTGACTGGGGGGTGAGGGATGGTGATTTCCTCTCTGATTGCCAAATACAATAACAATAGCAATAAGGTTTTGATGCATGTTACAAAGTAGTTCCTGTTTGCTATGAACCACTGTATGTACCTCATACTTTTAGTGTAACAGGTTTACTGTGGGTTGGTTTGTAACTACAGATTATACATAAATCAGAACTTCATAACCCAGGGACTCTCTGTATTTCTATTCTTTTTAGATTTGAGACAGAAAGAAATCAAGTGAGGTTAAAGAAAATACAAGTCAAAACTGATAACAGGGCCTCTGGTGCCTTCCCAGTGAAATCTAAACTGTGCAGCATCAAAGTTCTGGGGTCTAGCCCCTTTCTCACTCTTGTTACCTGTGTCTTCTTGTTTCCTTGTAACCCTAAGCGAGTGGTCAGAGGAACTGAGTCTACCCCTTGGAGGTGGCATCTGTTGCATGCCTATTCAGAAAAAGTCTCCTTTTTATAATTTTTGTAACCCTGGTGGCACAGTGGCTAAGCTCTCAACTTCTAAATGAAAGATCAGCAGTTCAAACCCACCAGCTTCTCCAGAGGAGGTAGATGTGGCTGTCTGTTTCCATAAAAATTCACAGCCTTAGAAACCCTGTGAACAGTTCTACCCTGTTCCTCCGGAACCCCATGAGCACTTGCCATATAGTAGGTGCTCAATGCTTGTTGTTGTTGTTATTAGGTGCTGTTCAGTTGGTTCTGACTCATAGTGAGTATAGGGTTTATGAGGAATGGCTAAACATTTACGTTTAGCAGTCTAGTAGTTATCCTATAGCACCACACCAGGACTTACAAAGAGCAAATGTTTCCCTATGTTGAAAAGAACACTTTCCCCCTTTGGAAAAGAAAAGAAATCTGATTATACCTTTTATATAAATTCATAGACTGGCAAAAATCAAATGAAAACCATTTAAAAGGAGAGTTTAGATAATCGGAAGGAGTAGCTCTGGCAAGCATTTGTCGGCATTTTAGGCATGTGGTTTCTATGCACAGTTCTCAAGCCAATACTCACAGATTGTTGTAGCTCCTGGGCCATATGTGTATCTGGTGTTGTGCAGTGTGGCAAGTTCATTCACGGTAGCTTTAGCCAGGGCATTCTGTAATAAGTAAGTGAACAAGTAAATAAAAACACACACTGTCAAACAGACAGTCCAACAGATGTATACCGTACATTATTTTTAAGACACCGACGATGTTTAAATCACAATGGAGGTGAGTATTTTATATGTATTCATCCACTTCCAAAGGGTTAAACTTGATCCCTCTGACCGCTTACTCAGTGTAAGCAAGGGAGTTCCAATTCTCCCAACTAACTTACTCTTAGGATCCAAGTGATTTCTTGTGAAATGGAGTCTTCCTTAATGCTCTGTCCAAGCACTCTGTGTTTCCCTTTGTTACACACAGAATGTGCTGTGTTGTGTCAACACTATGGATCTGCTTCTGCAGTTGCCAGTGATTTTCCTGGTAACTGCCCAGTGTGTAGGCCAGGGCTTGCGACTTGTTGATCATTTATTAATTGCTGGAATGATGAGGCTGATTAGCACTTTTCTTCCCTGATTGTTTGAGAATCGGGTCCTGAAATTATTTTAAATCTTTGTTGCAATGACATCTGGGCCTTAGTTTTAAAAATTAATTTAGCCATAGGACAATTTTTACTTCATTTTGTGTGTGTGTGTTTGTATTTGTTGTTTACATAGAGCACAGGTCCTCTTTTCTCCTGGAATTCTTTTTTTTAAAGCATTAATCTAGGCTAAAGAAATGTGATGAGTATAGTGATTGTGGAACATTTCCAGATATCATATTTGTTGGCATAGTAAAATGTCAATGTGTATGAAGCACTAGAATATATCCAAGGATTAGCTTGGCAATTATATCTTATCTCTGGAGCCTGTAAGAGAAAAGTAGGAATCAGGAATGTCTTCATGGTTGTGCAAGAGAGGTTGCTTACCTATTACAGGCAAGAGAACTAACAAAATAAAAACAAACTCCAAACAAATTGAAAAGAGAAGAAAAAGGAAACCAAAGAAACCATTCCAACCAAAACAAAAATAAAAACCCTTGGAAATGTGACAGGTTATAAAGCCAAGAGTATGTCATGATACATACATTTAAGTTTGGGCAGAAGCATAAGAAATACAACATTCAGTGCTAACATAGAAATGTTAAGGAATGAGATCTTCTAAGGATGAGTGATAGTTCCAATTTGAAAAATGTTTGGATTAAAACATTAGAGGACATTCATTCTATTCCAAAAGGCAGAACATTTGCATTCCAGAATATTAAAAAATATGTAGTAAGTATTCCTTTTTATTTGAAGTAACATCACCCTCTCCTAAGACCCACTGTCCTCCAGGTCTCTTCCGTAACTCCTCAAGTAGAAAGCCTTTGAAACCCCCTCTAATGCCTCCTGATAGGCAGACTATTTAAGTGAGTCACTTGGAAAGCCAGGCGTGCCCAGGCTGTCTGGGGGAACAGATTTGAAAACTGATTGTTTACAGCAGGAGAGTTAGCTGTAATTCATTTTGGTTATGAAACTAGCTATGTTTCATACTTTGGCATTATTTTGTGTACAACTTTGGTATTACAATTATTTCTCGTAAAATTTCTTGGAAAACTGTGAGGTTGGTGATGAAGTCAGTATAATCCTACTTTTACAGAGTAAAAATTCCCTTAGTTCTTATCTTAATTTTAAAACCAGTTTAGTAGAGGCTTATGTTAAATTGTCCATGAGGGTGTAGTTATAAGATTTTAAGGATTCCAATACCCAAAGCATTAATGCTTCATGTACCAGTGTGTTTTAGAAATCTGAAAAAGAATTATGAAATTAAAATAATGACTTCTGTTCAGGTCCTAGGGAATGATGCAATCAATTTTGGGGGGACCGGCTGTGAACCTTAAGGTCAGCAGTTCGAAACTACCAGCAGCTCCATGGAAGAAAGATCAGGTTTTCTACTCCTGTAAAGATTTACACCCTTGGAAACCCTGTACAGACTCAACGGCACTTAACAACAACAACAACAACAACAACGTCCTATTTTACTCAGACTGTTGGGTTGGTAATGAACATTTTAAAGTTTCATTTCCCTGTTTCCAAACTGGTTGTTTGACACATGAGGAGCCCTGATGGCACAGTGGGTTACATGTTGTGCTGCTAACAGTAAAGTTGGTCGTTCAAACCCACCAGCCACTCTTGGAATAAAGATGAGGCTGTCTGAGAGATTTACAGTCTCAGAAACTCTTAAGGAGCAGTTTTGCCGTGTCCAGCAGGGTTGCTATGAATCACAATCAACTAGATGGCAGTAGGTTTCAGTATATTTTAAAACTGATGCATGCTTTCTCTTACTGTATAGAATCTCTGTTGTGATCTAAATATATTGTTGCTGCTGTTTATAATCTTATTCTAACCAAGACACTGGATTTTAGTCTTCTCTTGACTCTTTAGTCCTATGACTGATTGAAATCAGAAATGCAATTTATAGACATTGCATAATGTTTAGAATACATTCAAAATCATCTTTTAGAGATGTGAAATACTTGTGAGGTAGTAGTTATTTAGGTAGATAAGCAGGATGTTTTCTATGATTATATAATTTCTTTAATTTGACATTTACCAGAGGCAATTTCTAGCTAGTTATTTTCTGTAAGGCAGAAACTCTGATCTTAAAGAACTTGTGTTCTTTTTCTAGGTTCCTTCCTTAAACTTTTCTTTTCTTCTCCCTGCTTGCCAAAACCTTATATTATTATTTTTAGTAGAAATACGATTTTTTAAAGAATTAGTTTCAGAAAAGCTATGAAAATGAGAACAGATGTAATTTAATGTCATTATCTCTTTAACTCGTGTGTTGGTTGACCTTCAAGCCTCTCAAAATATTTAATGGTACTGATGTAGTATTCAAGTTATCTGACTATACCAAATGACCTACTTGTGATCTGTTATCTCTTTTGACATGTCAACTTAATTTAATCATAGCTTCTGATAGGGCCACAAAAAAATGATCAGTTTGTCTCTCCTCATGCCATGTTCTGGGCTTGTGAAGTGATAACCAAGTGCTTTCTAAGTCTTCATAGGGATATTTTGGAAACAGTTGCTCTGCCTTTGATGTTGAAGATTGATATCTAAGATTGATGTCAGCATATAAAGGCTGTTATTTTATTACAGCAACTTGTGTACATTGACCATTTATTTTGTATTTTTTGGAGGACTGCATAGCAACTAACACATAGCTGGATAAATGATTGTTGGGATGGTGTTGGTACACTGTGTGCCACATTTGGATATTGACCTGTGCTCTGCATTTTTTTAATTTTCATTCTTTTTTTTTTTTTAAAGTGATTATCAGTAGACCCTTTCATTCAGCCCTCACCAAGCCCAACAGACAAAAATGTCAGAACAGATATGAATCAACAAAAATATCATACTTTCACTTCCAATAATCTTAAGAAAAAATCCCTGGAATCAGTGTGGGCCTTTTCTTTTGAAGAGTTCAAATAATTTCACAAATGTTACTCATTTATCTTCCCAACATTATCTGTCCACATTTCATCAACACAGACTTTTCTAGCTGAATGGAATGCCATGTGAGGAAGCACGCTCGCTCAGTGGGAATGTTCCAGTCTAACTGGGTGACTGACCCCTGCCAGGAATGTTAGAGAGAATGGTGATTCCTACATATGCTAAAATGCTAGCATGGTATTTCCTTTCCCACTTGTTATTTCTGCAGTAATGGGCTAAGAGAGCTAATGAAAGATCTACAGAATCAGCATCAAAGCAGAGAGCATGATCCACATCTTGAAACACTAATTAATGACACTTTCTTTTCTATTGTTGTTGTAGTTAAACTCATAGTGACTCTGTATAGGGTTTCCAAGGAGCAGCTTGTGGGTTTGAACTGCCGCCCTTGTGGTTGCCAGTCCAGTGCTTATCCTATAGCTCTATACCAGGACTCTTCTCCATATTATCTGCCATTTGAGGATCTTCTTACATTCTTGTTCAATGAATCCAAAATAAGTACTAACATTTACATAAAACCTTAGACTTTACAAAGACCTCTTAATAAGAGCTAGATATTTTTATCCCCATTTTACAGATAAAAGGACTGAATCTCTGAAAGGATAAAAGACCTTGCCCAAGGGCACACAGGCCCATAAGTGGCCAACTTGAGCTAGGTTCTTCTTACTTTAAATCCTGTGCTCTTTTTCACTTCTTCTTGTGGCCTTCTAATACTTCAAAAGAAGTGTTGCTGGAGCTGGCTGTACCAATTGTAAAGAACAGAAGGAAGCTAAATATAAATCAGCCTCAGAGAAAACTCTGCTTTTAGTCAAGGCCAAACATGGCCAACCTTTATTAATCCTTAGATATGGATTTCCTACCATGTCTTATGCATGTTTTCTTTTGTCCCTTGTTTCCTTAAAAAGAGGCTGTGGTCATAGTGCAAAAGGCAGAGTGAGTCTAAAATGTCACCTGTAGTTCAAAGCCCAGGAGACAAAGAACAAACTAGCTGTAAAGTCTTCCCCTCCCGCTCTGTACTCCCAGGCATTGTGAGATGAATAAGGAGAGGATATTATTTTCTACTGCTCTGAGTTCCCTGATTATGTTGTTTAAGTGTCATTGAGTCAGCTCTGACACGTGGTAACCTTGTATAGGGTTTCTGAGGAGTGACTAGTAGGTTTGAACTAGTGACCTTGTGGTTTAAGCCTACCTTGTGGTCCAGTGCTTATCCTACAGCGCCACACCAGGATAAATATGCCCCTGCCTCATGACTGTGCATTTACTCCTCATTCTAACCTCCATGTCCATAGACAATACCATAATAGGAGCTATCCCTTCTCCTAATCTCCAAAAACACTCCTCCCCAAACTCAAACCAGTTGCTACTGAGTACATTTCAACTCATGGGGACCCATCTGTGCAGAGGTGAACTGCATTCCATAGACTTTTTAATGTGATGTTTTGGAAGCAGGTCACCAGACCTTTCTTTTGAGGTATCTCTGGGTGGGTTCAAACCACCTTTTTAGTTAGTCAAGTGCTTAACCATTTATGCAACTCAAGAACTCCTTTCAGCAGCCCATTATTATGATGAAAGAAAATGCTGAAAAGA